TTTGATTTACGACAAAAATATTTATATTTATATTCACCTTTGCATATTGCGAGGATTTTGTGTACGCATCGCTACGTAACATAATGCTGGAAGACTAGCGAGATGAATCGCCTGCCTAAAAAAGAAAGAAATATTGATAAATAAAGTTTTCTGTCGAAATAAATGTATATCGATCATATATATATATATATATATATATATATATATATATATATATCGCGTAAAAGACCCATAATAAGACGCACATAATTCGAAAAATAAAAAATATAATTACTTTTTCTCTTTCAATTCTTTTACATTCTTCATTCAGATATATATATATATATATATATATATATATATATATATATATAATAATGCAGAAGAGTTGAAAAAAAAGTAAATATATTTTTTATTTTTCGAATTATGTGCGTTTTATGGGTCTTTTACGCGAAATAAAATTATATTATTCTCTCATATATAATTAATTTGAAAAAAAAAATTACATTGTTAAATATTTATCGATATTTTATATAACTATTTGTTATGGTTTTGAATTAACATAAAAAATGATATCAAAAAGATGTAAAGATATATCTTACAATATAGCTATAATTTAACTCTAATCAATATATTCGTTGCTCATTAATTTTACACTAAATTAATGTAATATAAATATTAATTTAACGAAGTGATATAGGCGAGAAAAAAATATTATTGTCAAAATAATTTGAAAACTTGAAATCTTTTTCGAAAGCATGTATTTAATATTTTGAGTTGTAATCATTTTATGTCAAAATTTCTATATATTAAAATTAATCCCATGCTATTTCTGTATGGAATAATTTTTGCATAGACTCACCTGCCAAAACAAAAATATCCGAGGGCAAGGCCAATTATAAGACCATAAACGTGTCTGGCAGCTGGAGTAGCAGCAATAGGGCTCAAAGATGATCTGAATAATCCGGCTAATATGAGTGCTGTAAATTGTGTCAAGACGAAATTAACCTGCACAAAAAAATAAATTTATTATATGCTCCATTCCTCTCAAAGATTTTTCTTATATAATCATTACTTATTATTGTTACGCCATTTAACTATTTACGAAAAATAATAATTCATAAAAAAATTATTTATATACAATATACATATATATAATTTATACATATTAATTATAATTTATATATATATAATGTAACTTAATTTTTTTACCTTACGTTTAATAGTTAAAGATAGATCATCAGATAGATCATCAGATTAGATTTTTTTTTAGATATATATATATATATATATATATATATATATATATATATATATGATCATTTTCAGTTTCTTAGCTTTTTATTATATTTTTATTTATTTACAAATTATTTTTCAAAATAAGATGTAGTAACACAAATAATATCAATAAGTAAATGACGATAAAATTAATAAAATACTGATTAATAAATAAATTACTAAGATATATTGGAATATTAAAGTAAATTGTATATAAATAATACGAAGAGAGAGAAATGTTTCTTTATGATTTATCTCTACATATACATGCACAGATAAGAATATTATTGCACTTGATATCAAGAATTAAAGAGGCAAAAAATAAAGCAATTCCTCTTTCAGATTTTCCTTGCTATCTATCACGTTATATATAATTAGAGCAATAATGTTTTTATAAATTATTCATGTTAGAAAACAAAAGATCAATTTCCCTCTCTCTCTCTCTCTTTCCCTTTCCCTTTCTTTTTCTATTTTTCACATTTCAACCGTATGAATTTGTAACTCAAGTTTTAGATTCTACCTCGCATTCTACACTGTTGCAATTCTCGAGTGACGAGGTCATTGATCCCTTTGCCCCATGTATACGTTTACGGTACTAAATTGTGCTAGATAATATTTTCATTGTTTCTTAACTATTGACAGCAAATTGGATTTTATTTGTAAAATTAAAAGTATTATATAATTTTCTTTATATTGAGATTTATCATATCTCATAGTATCTACAAAAGTAAAAGTATTTAAAAATTTGCAAAATTTGCATTTTAAATTAATAAATTTTACATATAAAGTTAATTTATATGAAAATCAAGGAGAAGGAGATAAATAATAGATAAAATGTAAAAATTTTTTCAATTAAAAAATATCAAAATATACCTTTTTTGGAGAGTTTTAAGACAAACAAATTATTTACATGACACATGTTACGACAATATAATTATGTACGTGTAAGAATAATTATGATAACACGTGTAAGAATAATTATAACACATTGAAGATAACATATGCAAGTCTTGAGAAATATTTCATAAAAGTGTCGTATAAAAGCTGCACACAATTATTTTGCACAAAGGTGTTTTTAAATAATCTATATTTTATATATTATCATTGAGAAAGTGAGACAGCAATAAAAGTATAGATTATTCATTATTAAATTTGTATTCATTAACGTAATAAACTTATAAACTTATAAATTGTGGAATAAATACATAAGAAGGAAATAATATTATATTACTTAATGCTTTACAATTTTGAAAGATTTTTTCTAATTTTTTAAATATTTCTATTTTATTAGGGGGGCCAACCAAGATATTCTTATTCTATATTTCATTTTTTCATTTTACTCCTATTTTTAACATATTTATTTAAACAGTCGATCGCGTTCTGTTTTGCCAGTGGAATGCATCGTTGAGAATGACGGAAGGCGATAAAGGGTTTTCGCTAAAAATAGGGAATAAATGAAACGGATAATACGCTTCGGATAATATAATCATTTTCCAAGGAATAACCGTAAAAAAACGAGCTCTTATCGCAAGGCAGCGTTATTAAGACAGTGTGTGCAATTTTTATTGTTTTAATCTCTTAATATTGTTTTACTTTATTGCGTTCCTTGCTATCTTGTCTATGATGAAAAATAATGGCTCGTAAATATTGTACAACACAGTGTAAACAGTAAAATAAAACACAGTAAAATTCCTTCATTACATATTGCATTTATTTAAATTCTATACTTATATTTAGCACAGCTAACTTTGATCTTCTGAAATTAAAATATCAATATCAAAGTATATAATATCAAAGTATTTTCTTCCCTCGGATAAAAAAATAGATTTCTTTAACATGGCATATCATTATGTGAAGCCACAAACTATAATTATAATTTTTTGCTAATTTTGTCATTAATTATCATAAACTTATCCGATTAAAAAATTATGTCGTTTGCAAAATATAATTAAATTTTGACTGTAATTAAATTTCTTAAGATTCATATTTAGTACATTTATATATTGTTTAATATAACTATATTTCAGTATTTTTTATTTTACAAATGTATTTCAGAAGAATTATATCAGTAATAAATAAAACTTTCAAAAATTTGCTGCATATTTATTAATCTTATTATACTTCATATTTCTTTCATAACAACTTGAACTTTATTTCTTAGATTTTATTAAACTTAGAATTAGTATTAATATTAAGAAAGTTATAGGAAAATGCTAAAAAAATTGTTTTTTCTATAATATCTCATTTCAGGAAAAATCGAGCTCTAGTTAATCGCAAGATAAACTTCTATATATGGGCGAGATTGAACTTGAAAATATCTTATCATCATCCATCTGATTTCTTTTTGTATAATTGCGCACACGTTTTTTTATTATTTATGTACTTCGCTTTCATCTCTGCTCAATATTATTCTTATAATTTTCGAAATGTTTATGATAAGCCGATACATCGCGGTTTTATGTGATAATTTCATACAACAATTGATATTTTATTGAGATAAGCAATATGCACAATATTTTCACAATAAATATATTCATATTTATTTATTTCAGGCTGCTAAAATAAGTGATGTGTTAATAAGTTTTTTTATGTCATTAAAATATATTGAAATAGTAACGTTAATTATATCTTAAATTATTTTCTATCGAATGTTATTCAATACTAAAAAGTAACGAACGATACATGGATAATTAAAATCTTTTTATTATTCCGTAAAATTATTAAACAGATATTATGAAACTTCGAAAATAAAATGCAATAAATTGTAAAAAACAGGAAATCATCATCGCAGTCGCAACATTATTTTTATAATAATTTAATTTTAACAGTATTACAGTCTCATGTAAAAAATATTTATTAAAATATATTATTATATCTATATTATTAAACTATATTTTTAAACTATTATATATATTTAAATATATATATATATATATATTTAAACCTATATTATTAAACTATATTTTCATAATATCTATCTTTCTAATATTGACTTTTATGAGACAAAAAAACTTACAGGTTATTTAAAAATTAATTTTAAAAATTAATTTTTTTTTATATCTAAAAAATAGAATATATAGAAAATTAATTGTTTATGTTGCTAAAGAGATAAATCAGCAATTGCTCTTATTTTCTAATGTTGAATAATAAACGATAGGAAATCCGGTGAGCAAAGAATAAAAAGTATATGTTGCACGACAGAGAATTAACAAAACTCGAGGTTGTCAGTAAACTAGATATTTCCCTTGAATGTAATAATTAGCTTTTAAAAAATACTCGAATTATAAAACATGATAATATACATAATATACGATAAATAGTGACTGATAATAAATGAAGTTTTGGTCATTAACTTCACTTCAAAGTTCATAGACTACAGTAGTAAAAATAAATTGTAAGTAAAAATAATTATTTTTAAATTATTTTTAAATTTGTAAGTAGAAATAATTTGTCTTTTTTACTATATAAAAAAATTTCAATTATCGATCCAATTAAAATATAATGTAAAAGAAAAGTTTATTTTTAATTCTCGTTGAATCTAATGAAATAATTAATCAATTATTTAAATCAATTTAATTAACGAGTAATGTATTATAACGCAAGAAAAACTGAAGAAAACTAATTGAAAAATATTATCATATCGATTGTGTTGTTGAAAGTCTTGAAAGTTACGTGCAGGAATTTTATTTGGAAAAAAAACTGCGCATATTTCTTATGTTAATGTTGCCATTTTCTACAATATTATGTAAATGCATTAAAAATTAATTAAAAAACATGTATTATGCGAGAGAATTTAAAAGTCATCGCATAGCAGGATTAATTATTTAAATCAACGCAACTCTAATGCAGAAAAAATAGAACAAGTAACGTAGAAAATTATATTCAATTGCATTATTTAATGCGCGTTATCATTATTGTATTAATTAGTTTCAAGCATTGTTCGAACACAAATACGACCATTCGAGTATGATTATAGAATGCATAGATAAAACAATGTGATGGAGAAAAAAAATCGATCTTAAAATATTCAATGATTCAAGAATGTATCTGTTATATAAATCTATTTTATCATCCTATTTTATCCGAAGCGCATACAAAGCGGAAAAGCGTGATGAAGAAGATCCCTTTAGCGATCGATATCTATGCGAATTCCCGGGAATCTCGCTTAGAGGACAACGGCACCTGGACAATCACGCCGTCGCTCCTCCCCGCACCACGCGATGCCGTGCCGTCATTTCCGGCATCCGGGTATATCTCACCTGGTCGATCGGCAACCCGACGAAGTCCGCGAACCAAGAGAAAGTGCGAAAGCCGTCGTAGTGGTCCATGGTCGTGGCCATTGTCGAGGGATTCGCCCAAGAGGATCCGCGATCGCGAAAGATACGCGAGACGGACCACGAGGTGGACGAATCCGGAAGCGAGTGAACGGATGATAGACGGCGATTTACGAACGTAACCAGATATAGATGACAGCCAGCTGACGCACAAACAGACGAGAGCGGACGGATGACTCCGGCGAACTAAAGTAAAGCGGGAAGAGCGCCGGCTGCGTTACCGGCATTTGGAATTTTGCGTGGCGTCATTTGACGTGAGAAGCTCGTGTCGCACTGTCGACCAATCACTCGCAAGCATTTGCCGGAGAGGTGGTCGTGCGAGTTAAAGCCGTATTAGATTGCACATTGAGCCTTGAGATTAAAAATTAAAATTCTTCTCTTGACTAATCAGAAAAAAAAATTTCAACGCTCCTTTTTTTATGATATGAGTTTTGATTGTCATTGAAATTTGAAAAGATAATTGAAATTGTATAAACAATTTCGTGATCCGTTTATCCGATTAGATCGTGCATTAACGGCTTTAAATTGTGTGAAAAGAGAAAAGATTTGATCTACAGAAAAGAAATGGAAATATAAAAAAAATATATATTTTCTTTTTTCCTTATCTTAAATTGCTATTATTTATCTCTCTCTGTCTCTCTAACAATATTAATAATCAAAATACACATTTTATAATAAATTTATATAAAACATTTTCTCGATCTCTTTTCCTTTTATCTTTACTCTTTCATGTATGATTAATTACACTAAAGATTATTAATCCATTGACAAAAATAAATTATATATACAATCGATTTCGAATTTTTATATTTTTATAAGATACAGTTATTTAAATATTTGCAGTTTTCTAAACAAGAAAAATTAAAAAGAAAGATCAGAATTTCTTATCATAACTATAAATTATGGATTTGCATCATTGCTTACTACAATTTTTTGCATGCAATTATTTTCTTTATGCAAAGATACATTGCTTTTTTATTTTACAATAGATAGTATAATTTATTATAATGTAAACTAGATTATTCTTAGATAAGATCTTAGATTATTCTTTTCATTACTTTTGATAATTTCAAAATTATCAATCTCATTCTTAAAAAGTTGCATATTTATTTCAATGCTCCAATTTATTTTCATTAATCTTATTGTATCAATTATTAATTTAAATTACTTGTACAAGAGTATTAATCAAATTTAGAGTCTATTATTTAGCACAAAGTACATTTTCAACTGCTTAAATAATGCATATTAATAAATTTTACATTACAGGAATACATACATGCATATATATGTGTATAAAGGCCTTTGAAATTGACCATTTTTTTCTATATTTTCTTTTGTTATTCTTACATTAATAGTATAAGATAAGACAAAGATAAGAAAGACAAACTATGTTTAAAATTGATTAACTTGTAAATTGTAATTGCTACAATATCTTTTAAGATAAGTTTAAATAAAAAATATTTTAAGAAATAAAGTTTTTTTCTTGTAAATGTTTTTACTTCATATATATATACTGTTATAAATTTTTAGATAATTTGAAAAATAATTTATATCATAAATTTTTTTTATTATTGCACAGGTACTATTTTTCTCATATAGTCTTTCTTATAACATGTATGATATTTACATACATTTTCCAACTTTTATATATATTCTTCAAACATACAATTATATATATTTTAAATATGTTCTAAATTATCTATTAAAACCGATGACAAATGTTCAAATTGTATGTCCACATATACAATGTAATCATCTGATTACACATTGTATTATTATCATAACTAGACAAACATGCTCATTTGAATATATATTACCAACTTTGATAAATTAAACTACAAAATAAATTCAAAAAATATAGAAAATTGAATTTTTTCCAAACATATAACAAAAATATTATAATATTTATTGTAACATTCAATATAATAAGAATAAATAAAAAAATATATGTTAAAAAATGTTTATGTTAAAAAATGTTTATGATTTAAAAATAAATAAAATAATTTTTTAAAAATAGAATTCTCTATGTAATTTTTCGAGCACATATCATTGTCATTTTTAATATTTACACTGTACATTTAAACAATTTTAAATATTTTATACAGCTTGTTAAATGTAAGAATTATTTTTTATACAATCTATATTATACCAAACTATATAATGCCATAGTAATAATATGCTATCATTGCTATTATGCAGGGTGTCCCATTTTAAGTGTCCACCCCAAATATCTCTCTCATTTTTCATTTTAGAGAAAAATGGTTTAGACACGTTTTGTATGGTTTCGAGGGGGCCATAAGATGGTACCATTGATTTGACCTTGAAGAGTCATTTGAAGGTCACGTGAAGATCATCTCAATTTTCTTAAATGGCACCCCCTATTTTTAATTACATACTCTTGTAGCTGACCTCGAGAGCTTTCCAAAACACTATAATAAAATATTTTTTCGTTGAGTATTTTTTGAGTTATGAGACTTGAATAATTTCTTAATACTACATAAATCATAAAATATTATTTTTCGATTATTTTACTTTAATACTTTTATGCACAAAATAATGTGAGAAATCGATTGGTGTAAAGAAAATACATAGTTGTTTCAAAGAAAAAATATGTAATTGTTAATTGCAAATTACATATTTTTTCTTTGAAACAACTATGTGTTTTCTTTACACCAATCGATTTCTCACATTATTTTGTGCATAAAAGTATTAAAGTAAAATAATCAAAAAATGATATTTTATGATTTATGTAGAATTAAGAAATTATTCAAGTCTCATAACTCGAAAAATACTCAACGAAAAAATATTTTATTATAGTGTTTTGGAAAGCTCTCGAGGTCAGCTACAAGAGTATGTAATTAAAAATAAAGGGTGCCATTTAAGAAAATTGAGATGATCTTCACCTTCAAATGACTCTTCAAGGTCAAATCAATGGTACCATCTTATGGCCCCCTCGAAACCATACAAAACGTGTCTAAACCATTTTTCTCTAAAATCAAAAATAAGAGAGATATTTGGGGTGGACACTTAAAATGGGATACCCTGTATGTATATGTATATACATTAATATATATATATATATATATATATATATATATATATAACTTCAAAAGAAAGTTATAGGTTAATTAATGCTTTGATAGCATACAATAAATGTATTGCCTTGTCATGCTTAAATCTATTATAATATCATTAGTGTTAAATTAAATGAGTCGAGTATGAGAAATTAATTTAATTAAATATATTAACTATTTTGTCAATTCAATCTTCCAATATGAGAAAAGTAGATGTATAATAAAGTTACTATTTTCAGATATTTTTGAATTTGAAATTAATGTTTTTCAGTAAAAATTTTTAATTAATTAAATTTAATATTTAATTAAACTTTATTATATAGTGTTTTTATTTTAAAAAAAAGTATATTGAGTACTCTTATATATAAAAGTAAATTATTTTAAATTATTATCAATTTGACTACCTAAATAAGATTTTCTTATATATGATTCCAAAATTTAATAAGCTAAAGCAATTTAACTTGTCAGTGTTTGAGCAATTAAGAGCAGAATAATGTCTGTTCCAAAAAAAATAAATTCAAATTCAACAGACAATTTAAAGTTGATAAATAAAATATATGTGACTGTTGACAGTATACACTACATTTTAAATTGCTTTATTTTATTTTTATTTTATGCAATTTGAGTTTGAAACCGAGCAACTCTGACAGTACTCCTGAGAGTGCTGATAGTAATACTACTTTAGTAACAGTATATAGATACGGATTAGCTGAAAGCCCAGAGATTTTGAATGGACTTTCCAATTCCTATAAAGCATCCCATTGAATTAATTCAATTTATATTAGCTTTTTATTAAATTTTTAATAGAAATGCATACCTTTATCAAGTCAGCCGCTAATTTTAATACGCTATTTGCGACCATAAGTTCTTCTTTCTTATGCGGCTTTTGCTCAATTTGCAAATATAAATTAATCTGAAAATTGTACCGAAATATATAAATCAGTGGATGTGTGTGCGTATGTAGGTGTGTGTGTGTGTGTGCGCGTACGCGCGCGAGGAAGAGAATAAAAAATCTAGAATAAAAATGTAAATATATTATTGTAAAACTTACTTGCTCGGTTATCAAAACTGAGAGATTCCTGTACTTCTTGTTGATTTTTGTCCCTAACGTCATAAATCGTAATATAAATATTCCAAGTGAGAAGCTCCAGAATAATGCTTCGACGTTGTATCGCGAATGTAGGCTTTCAAGATCCTAAAATTTAATTTATTGTTGAAAACAAAAATGTAAAAAAAGTTTATTAAAAAGAATCTGTGAGATATACTTACTTTAATCAATTCTAAACTTACGAATGACAGCAATAATATCGTAACGATAAATACCGCCGATACAATAACGTCCACAGATCGTTGCGGACCTCTTCGCTATAACGCGAAATTGTGTAATGTCATGTATATAATTATAGTTTTTAAAATGTTAACGTTTAGTAGCTTACTTTCAGATAAGATCTGACACTCAGCCACGTTTTTATGTTGCGTACTTTGTTCAAACGAAAATGTGGCAAATCGGATTTTTGCGCACGTCTAGACGATGTTAAATGAGAAAATAATTTAGCATATAAAAGTCTCTGCTTGTACGTGCGTTCCGCGACTGCGAGTAAGAAAAATAAAAAGCATGACAGCATAAGTCGCTCGAATGTCGAAATAATTATTAGTATTCGTTCCCTAAGAAAGAAACAGTTTAAAGAGGTTTTCATTCTTCAAGTAACTATTAACTTTCTAAATACTTTAAAATGAGATGTTCTCTCTTACCAGAAAGTGCTTCCAAATGCTATACCAATTATTCTACACAAAACATCGGTATAAGTTTCCAAGTTCACTTGAATCATATCACTTGGTAATAGGCTGACAGATACATTACTAATATTATCCGATCCTATATGATCACTCAATCGTTTTATAGACGGTATTAGACACAGTGCGATGCTAAGTATCAGACCACCGTAAAAATAATTCATGCTCTCCGGCATAGATTCGACTCTGGCGATTATTGCTGAACTAATGTCTAATACTGACAATTCAGCTTTCTTGATATCACGTCGCGTCCAAATCGTACATGAAACTATAAACAAAGTGATATAAATTAGAGGCTATTAAATCTATATTTATTTATTACAGAATGAATCACCTAATTGTAATATATGCAATTTGTCATTACTAACCACGATCAGATGATGTACAAGTAGAATTTAGTAATATCGAAGGCGGCAATTCAAATTCCCAGGAAAAGGGATGTTCTACAAATTCTCCATAATTAAGATTGGTCTCACTTGCTAAATCAGATTCTCCAAGTTCTGAACTGCAATAATTCCGTTTCGCAAAAAGCTATATAAAAAATCATTGAAAACTATAACTCATTAAAGAATCAAATTTAAGTCTCACCTGTAACTACAATCGTCGCTATTGGTTGTTACTCCCATCCATTCTGTAGCTGAAGTTGTTGCCTCTGTGAGATGATGCGTGGTAGCTTCCTCGCATTCGCCTTCCTCTTCACTCTCGCACTGCTGTCGTGCTTCTCTTGAGCCCAATATTTTTGGGTCTGCATTTTTCTCCTTGAAAATTAACAATAATAACAGAATCAACAAATTAAACATTACTACGTGTAGTAAAAGTAAATATCTCTTGACAGAATAAGAACAAAATATCTTAAATTGACTTATTTAAGATACATATATATGCAATTATAGGAAAGTAATATTTAAAGAATATTAAAATATATAAGTATAAAAAATAGATGAAATATACCTCGCTATTGTTGTGAATATTGCTTTTACTATCCGTAAACTTGTCATCATTTTTTAATGGGTCGGGTGCTGCGTGGAAAGTGGAAAACGATGATTTAGCTATTACTCCATTTTTTACCTTTCCAACAAAGATTAAAGCGTGTTAGCGGTTCGAAATGCAACTAAATATAAAAACAAATAAAAATACTTCTCATTCGTATGCTTTCATGGAATATTATATGAATCTTAAAATCGAAAGAAGCACTAAATGTATTTACAAATTTAACAAACTACATGTTTTTATATAACTTTGCATATGTCACCACGAATTCAAATTCGCAAATAAAATATTATAATTAATTTTGCAAAATATTAATTATTTATTTACAAACTAGTTTACAAGCGTATACTTGTAAATCAAACCTGAGTGTTTTGGTGGAAGTGAAACTTGTTGACTAGTGCTATCTTCTGACCATGACGTGCGGTCTTTATTTTGTCGCATTACTCCTTGCCGTGATCTATTTCCTTGCGCCAATCCTTGACCTATTACTCTGTCATTATCACTAGAAACATTACCATTTAAACTCTCAAAGCCATCATCATCTTGATGTATATTCACCACACGTTCTTCTGGTATATTTTCTATTACAGATATAGAGAAATATAGACATTTGAGTTTCAAAGTATGTAAATTTACAGAAAATAAATAATTAAAATAATTAAAATATTAATAATATTACCTGGCTGTTCAATATTAGCTGAACTTTCATTTGGAGGATTGGAATTCTCTCCAGTTGTACTTATTGCCTCTTTGTCAAACACTATTTGAGCATTTGCAGATTCCTGTTACAATAGAAAATATATATGCTTATTGTGTGTGTATACATATACAGATATACATGTTTCAAACTATCACAAATTTGAATCACTCAGTACTCACTTGAGGCTGATTAATAATTGAAGAATTCTCAATTACCACCTTTTTAGCAAATCTTACTGCAGTTAGTACCTCTTCACTTCCTGTACTTGCTTTCTCAGAGGCAATATCTTGAGAGGATTTTGAATCCTTATGTATACCTTCAATGAATATTTATTACATATTAGTGCATTATAAAAATAAATTAGTATTTTTGTATTATTGCATACTTACGTAAATTTTGTCTATGTCTAGACTTTCCATTTCTGCATCTAACATGTCGAGAACGTCTTGTTATTCGTTGTCTGGATTGATTAGATAGCATGGTAGGACCTGAATGTGTTGATACAATATGGGAATGAACAATACATAGAACAAACATCATAACGACAGGTACTAAAACTTCTGACATTGATACAATCTGTAAACAAACATGACAATCAGGATGAACAGTAATGCAATATGCTCTAAAATATAAAAAATATTTTATTTTCATACTTCTGCTTCATTTTCCCTGTTTACATAAATGTAATACAAGGAAAGATTGACTGCTTGTAAGCTATATAGTAACAAGAAAAATAGGAAGATGCGATAACTTGTCTGCTGTATCCACCACTTTTTGTACAATGGAAGGAACAAAAGTCGCTGAAATGCTAGGCAAGCTACCGTAGACAAGCCATGCTTTGGTTTGGCTTTTGGAAATGAAGATCCTATATACATTAATACATCACAGATGAATATACATGCTTATCAAGAAGAACATCAAAATAATATATAATAATATTCTGTGTATATATGTATATATTTATATAATTGTTAAGATTTATGTAGCATACCACGAACAAGATCAACATCAATTAATTCTGTTTTAAGTTTTGCTGTTCTCATTGGAATATGTGTAAGTCCATCAAGAATATATTGCTCTATGGTTCTTTCCCATTGTTGTTTATCATATGTGCCAATTTTTTTTTGATACCTGGAAAAATTTATTTTTTATTCATTATTTAATCTTTTACATATATTTTTGAAAGACTTTGATAATTGATTATATATATTTTCTAAAGACTTTTGATATAATATTAATTTAACATTCTCAAATTAAACGCAGAGCTTAAGGCGATGATGAAAAATGTCAAATTATAATTAATTTGATGTTCGAAATTTCTTACCAATGCACCAATTCGTTGAGTCCCATATTCATTAAACGCATTGCAAGATTTTGCAATACTTGTTGGCTGCAATAGAGATTTGCAAAAATCTGCGAAGAAATGAAATGCAATTTTCCGTGAATTTTTATATGGAATCGAAATAATATTATATCATATAAGCAACGTTGGAGCAATATTATATCATCGACGATATCGAGTACTAAGCTAAATTTTTGGTTTTATTCAGCACTTGGTTCGTGTAAACAGCTATTTTAACAATTTCGCATCGTCATCATCTGTCAGCGTCGAAAGAAATCGGACTGACTGCAGGTGATCGCAAAACGAAACGATTTGACGCACAACAAAGCACAATCCATACAGATCTAAGTGGACGGAATATATCGGAGTATAATCATCGTTCGATTTGAGATTTGATCCTCGAGAAATGAGGAAAAAAAAGATGAGGGTCTCTTTTGTTGCGATTCTCCTCAAAGATGGCGGCTGACAGGCAGTGAATAGCAAAAATTTCAGATGACAGCACCGACAACATCACGATACCGTAAAGGTGCAATTTCATTGACGCTAGAAACCAGCGGCAAATTAAAATCACTAGACTTTCTCTAAATATGGCGTCAATAAAATAAAGTTCAAACAGTTTCAACTTTTTCAGTGTGTAAAGCGGCCTTTTCATTGACGCTACTTTTTAGCGTCAATGAAATTGCACCTTAACAGTTGGCAGCCCTACGAGATAGGCTGTGCAGCACTGTGCGTATATAAAATAAATTTGAAATCGCTTCTAGCCTAACCATCTTCACGCGATCGACTTTATTTGAATTGCACGGCATCGCATCGAATTATGATGCGGCGCCGATTTATTCGAACGTAATTCGGGACATCGCGATGCTGTATAAGCGTCAAATGAGCACGAATTGTCACGCAAATATGATAAATCACATCTACTCACCGTTCACCGGCTGTTCCACAGGCCGCTCCACTCGCTCGCCTCGAGACGTCCCATTCCGATCTTGATGCACACGATATCATCAACGCGAACGCGCGACACTTTATTAGGCACTCCCGATATTCGCTCGTATCCGATAATCATCATCAAGGGCGCAAATAACGCGACGCGACTTCGCTCCATCTTCGCGATCGCGCTATCACTGAACTGTGAAAAATAGCTGTCGCGCACTTTCGCCGACATATTATGAAAGTCGCGCGATCATCCTTGGACACTTTCGACGCTCTTTCACTCGCGATATTCGTTTAAAAACGGTTAAAAGACGCGAAAAATGCGGACGTACGACGATCCGTGTAACTGCGTATGACTCCGATTCACGTATGACGCGTATGACGTAGCAGTGACGCGTATGACGTAGCGATCACGCGCTAACATGGCGGCCGAACCAGTGCGCATTCGTTTCTGCGCACTGGTTCGGCCGCCATGTTAGCGCGTGCTACTACGTCATACGCGTCATACGTGAATCGGAGTCATACGCAGTTACACGGATCGTCGTACGTCCGCATTTTTCGCGTCTTTTAACCGTTTTTAAACGAATATCGCGAGTGAAAGAGCGTCGAAAGTGTCCAAGGATGATCGCGCGACTTTCATAATATGTCGGCGAAAGTCCGCGACAGCTACTTTTCACAGTTCAGTGATAGCGCGATCGCGAAGATGGAGCGAAGTCGCGTCGCGTTATTTGCGCCCTTGATGATGATTATCGGATACGAGCGAATATCGGGAGTGCCGAATAAAGTGTCGCGCGTTTGCGTTGATGATATCGTGTGCATCAAGATCGGAATGGGACGTCCCGAGGCGAGCGAGTGGAGCGGCCTGTGGAACAGCCGGTGAACGGTGAGTAGATGTGATTTATCATATTTGCGTGACAATTCGTGCTCATTCGACGCTTATACAGTATCGCGATGTCCCGAATTACGTTCGAACAAATCGGCGCCGCATCATAATTCGATGCGATGTCGTGCAATTCAAATAAAGTCGATCGCGTGAAGATGGTTAGGCTAGAAGCGATTTCAAATTTATTTTATATACGCGCAGTGCTGCACAGCCTATCTCGTAGGGCTGCCAACTGTTAAGGTGCAATTTCATTGACGCTAAAAAGTAGCGTCAATGAAAAGGCCGCTTAACAGTAATTAACTGTGTTGATATTGAAAGATATAAAATTTATAAGTACGTATTTTAAAAAATGTACGATGCAAATTCATAGAAAAATCAGCTAAAAAATCATGATCATACATCGAATCCATGATCCTATATTATATACGCAATATCTTTAAATTTAAAAAATGGAAGATATTGTTATTTATTGGCATTTGTACCCTGGTTTTAAAAATAAATATTATACAAAGCTTGTACCCTTCTGTAACACAATTGACAGAACAACATAAATGTCCAGCATGTTATGGGGTTTCTATGTGTCGTGATATTCATAAAATAAATCTCTTGTGGCATGATATTAATGCAATAATTTCTCACTTATTTGGGGTTAAAAATGTGTTCTTTGCAACATATAATCAAAGAAAGGTAGTGCTGAAGAAATTGGCACAATCTTTTGAATTAAAAGCATTTGACATTACATTGTGTAAAAAACTCCAGCTGGAATATCCTTGTACAAATGTTCTATTGGATAGATATGTAGCAGATTTTTATAATTATATCAAAGAAACAATTACTCTTGATTTTTCTAAAGATGATTCCAGCCGTTTGAGACTTTGCCCAACATTACAACATTTGGATGATTTGTTTTACAATATTTATCTTAACAATAAATATATTGATCCTACACAATACTTAATTAATCTGTGGACATTGGTTTCTTTAAATCCAGAGCCATTAATTCTTCAGGTAAATTATAAATATACATATAAAGTTATATATATATATATATATATATATATATATATATATACAAAATTATATACATACATTTTTTGATCCCTATATACATAATATACATATAAAATTATATACATACTACAATTATATATATATATATATATATATATATATATATAAAATTACATATAGATAATGCTATTAAATTATAAAGAAGTCAATTATGTTGACTATTTTTCAATAAATAATTAAGGATACAATTATATATCTTAAATTATTGAAACACTTCTTTCAGATATTATCTGCGGAAAATGGATGGCCAGTGCCAAAATATTTTGGAGCATGTGGCCGAATTATTATTGAAGAATATATTGGTCTACCACTTTCTGATTATTATGATAAATCTTGGATTCAAAGAGCAAAAATAGCATCAAGTCTTTTAAATGCTGCTCATATGTTTACTTTCAAAAATAAAAAATTCGGTTTTTATGTAACAGATGTATCAGCCGATAATATTGCTGTTGATTATAATAATGTAGCTAAATTTATTGATTTAGAAAATATAATTGTTGTTGACAAGAATATTTCTCAAAAAGGTAGAATAAATTGTCCCTATTACAAAAATACTTATATCATAATTTGAGATAAGGAGATATAAAGTTTATATATATTTATTTATGCATAATGATTATAGATATACCGGAAGAATGGCACGAATTACAAAAAAACATGATGCATTTTGATTGTTCTAATTGTTTTGCATTTTCCGCCGAAGATATTTGTAATCATCATCTAAGCGATCATAATTATTATGCAATCTGTCAGGTAATTGCTCTATATCATTAATGGATTATTATAGATCTGGATATTTTTGACATGTATTGTATAAATAGTACATAAATATATTTCATACTTGAAATATATATAGAAAATATATAATTACAGCTTTTATTAGATTCAACAAGTAAAAATTTATTTCCTGGCGGATTTCTTCACGATATACCTGTTAATTTTCAATGGCGATACCCAAATATTGAATATCTATTACAACAATGTGCCATTCCTAATTCTACCGATTCAAGAATATTTTTCGGCCAGCAACTCAAGGCATCATTGGATGCAATTGTAGAAGAATCATCTCAATACAAAAATAGTGAAATAAAATAACTCAAACAATATTAGCTTAAATCATATAATACAAATCAAATACAATTTTATATAATTCTTGTTACATAGTACAAAATAATTTCTTATATAAATATATTATCAATAGTTAAAAAATAGTTTCTGACAATATAAAATATAATAAAATTACAAACAAGAATATCACAATTAAGCTCGAATAAGATAATTAAACCTAATATTATTTTCTTGATTACTTCGATATCTGTATTTATGATAATATAATTAATGATAATTGATGGATCTGTACATATTTGTGTATGAATTTTAATAAATACAATAAAAAAATGTTTGTACACAAATGTAATTAATACTATATTCATAGTAACAAAAAATGTTTCATATTGCATAACAATCTTACACTCTTATATTTGTTTCTATTTGACTTATCTAATAAGCGTTATTGTAATTATTTTACAGTCTTGCTTTGTCATATATTAAATGGTTAATATTTAATAACGTCAAATAGTTCATAATTAAAATATGATTGGCTAAGATTATTGAGTAATGTAAATAATGAATACTTTGAAAAAAAATTAACTTGACAGCTCAGGTATAAAATATATCAATTTAACTAGGCATATATAAATAGGCAATATCAAACCAACGCAGATGTGGCGTGAAGCAATAAAAACTACTTTCATAATCCACACTTATTGATGATCAATACGTTTCGGACTCCTTTCGAGCCTTTTTCAGTGAAATAAAGTCAAACAGTTCGACATTACGCGACTATCTCAACCGCACGTCCGATCTATGAATCTCCTAACGGTACAAGACGTAAGGAAAGATACATCGGACACAAAAAACGCGACGGAGACGGGCACGAACATCTCGCTATGTCCAACGACTCTTAATCGACAAATTAACGGAACGAGAAAGAGAAAAAAAACTGATGTAAAAATTATTCTATACAAATGTATGGTATCCATATAGCAATTCAAAAAAACTGATTTAAAAAGTTAAAATCCGCAAACATTTAAGAATTGATTAAATTATAACATGTACATAATCGTAAATTATCATTTTTCTAAAAATTAAAAAAAAATTATAATTACCATTCTCTCATTTTCTTTTAACATATGTCTACTCTATTGTATTTTCAAGAGGATCTTTTAGCATCTTTACTTCATTTTTTAATAATGCGATTTTTTTTTCTAATTCTTGAATTGTGTTATTCTTATCGCGAATATCATCTTCTAATATCCCAACAGTATTTCTCAATTCAGCTATTGTTATATCCTCATCTTTCTTTAAACTTTGCAAAAGTTGTTTTGTCCATGGTCGTTTGACAGGATCTTTCTGCACCATTTGTATGATCATTTGTGCCTAAATAAAAAAAGCAATTAAGATATAAGATATATCTGCAAATATAAAACAAAATTTAATAAACATAATTCAATATATTTAAGACTTACCCATTTATGTCGCTCTGTGGGAAGACTTTTTGGTATGTAACCATTTTTTAAACAACGAGTTACAGAGCTCAATTCCATTTGAGTTTGCGTAGGAATTAAAAGCTCGATGAGAACAACTCCTACACTATAAATATCATTCTACAAATAAAAAATGTCATATTAATATTAAAATTTAAAATGTTATATAAATATTAAAATACTTTATTTATTTTAATATCCATCGAAGATTTTTTATAATTCTCATTCTCGTTTACCTTTGGATCACATTTTCCCTGTAGTTGTTCCGGTGCTGCATACATATGAGTACCACATGCAGAATGATTCTTTCCTTGTGATTTTAATGGACAAGCTAAACCAAAATCACCTAATTGAATTTGAAGTTGTCCTGATGTTGAAATGAATATATTACGTGGCTGTAATATAAATATTCTATTATATTTCAAAAGAATATGTTATCAATTAACATTAATTAAATTAAGTATATTTACTTTTATATCATGATGCACGACACTTTGAGAGTGGATATAATCGATTCCACAAAGAATTTGTTTCAAAATTTCCCTAATTACTGGTTCGGGTGATGCATTTAGTCTACCGCGCATCCATTGTTCAAGTGTTTGCTCACACAAAGCCATTTGAATATACAAGATCATATATTGGTGATTCTATATAAATAACAAGATAAACGTTAAAATCTACATTTGCGAATATAAATATATCTTTGTTTAAAGTTTAATAGCATATGTTATAAATATCTTATATTTTGATTTTTTTTATCTATATTATTTACTTACTTCATTGGAGGTATATGTATATATTTCTTGACTTGTAGATTCGTCACATAAATAATTATGATCAATATAATTATTACTATCTTTGGTTTCATTTGAAATCTTACTCTTCTTGCTATTTCTAAAAGATACAATGTCTGATGAGATTTCATCGATATAATTTGCTGCATTATCCTCGACTACCCACTCTTCTATATTTTCAGTTGATGAATTCAATTCCTCCAATCTTTCACTAAGATTTTGTCTAATTTCAAAATCATCAGTACTTCCACGTTTTTTATTTTGCTGTTTCACTTTCATGTCTGTCACATATCATTTGCATAAATTATTTTTCTTATCAAGTGATATATTTTGCTTATTATTAAGGTATATAAACTATTACCATTATCGAGCAAATTATATGATGTGGACTCTTCAGTGCAATAAGAAGTATGTAACTTATGTGATTTATGATCTTTCAATGGCGAACAGTTAAATGATGGCACTTCAATTCCTGCTACTTCAATCCAAGCTGCTTTGTAGGAAACAATATTTGCATGATTTAATTTAGCCAATGTCTTTACTTCATTCAAATGTTGTTGCAAAGTATTTGCATGACTAGAAGTTACAGCTATCTTTTTAACTGCATAATCGATACCATCGAGGCGATGTCGTGCTTTATAAACTTCACCGAATCCTCCACCAGCAATAAAACTTATTTCATTAAATTCTCGGTGATAACGGGATAATTCAGACAGGAAACTGTAATGTAACAACAAATAATATTAATGTATTACTGTATACACAAATACATAGTAACTGTTATTATAAACAGATACATATACGCGCGCATATGTATGCTTGCAAAATTTATAAATATAGCACACACAATATATACCTAGGGTTATATAAAGGATTTTCATTTCCACTCGCAGAATATGCAATTTTAATCAGTTGATAAAGAGCATGTTGATATTTTTTCCTTAGTCCTTCAAATTCCATCATATTGTACGAGTTATCAATTATTTTCATTTTATACAATTGAGCACAGATTTCTGTAAAAATATTATTTTTTAATAATTTTTATTATAAATATTTCTATATATATATCTAAAAAAAAATTTTAAAGATTGGTCACCATTATATAACTTTTTTCTGCGTGTTTTATCCTTTTCTAATATAGAACATATTTGATTTACAAGAGATTCAATTACAACACCAGAAGAAGGATTTACACGTGTGATTTGGCCACTAGTTAAATTTTCAGTATTATCATTTGAACAAAAGGTCGAATCCATATTATTACCTATTTCCATACAAAATTAAGATTATTAAATATCATTTCTTTTGTAATCTAATTTTGATAATAACCATTATAAAAACTTTTATTCAACTTAAATTTTTCATAATATTTATAATACAATATATAACATAAATAAACCAATAGATCAAAAATACATTAGAAAATCATTACAATGACATTCTGTTAAAAGATTTCTTTTTTCACATTTAAATAAAATCAAAAAGTAATTTAAAAAAAAGCTTAATCAAAAAGTCAATTTAAAAAAAAGCTTATATCAAAAATGTTTGTTTACATTAATAATAATATTTTTTTTCTTATTAAAACCTACTTTCCATATTTCCCGTAAAATACAAAATTTTAAGATAATGTATATTCAAAAATAAATAATTCAAATGTAACAATCAACTTGTCTGTATGGATGAGTTACTTTGAAAAAATTTTTGGAAAATAAACGTAATTAGTAACATATGATTTATAAATTATATACATAATGTACCTTGATCGAATGTGGTTAGAGTCGTCAGAGTATTCCAAGGATGATTTGTCTGCCCTGTATTCTCTGCCATTTTACGCGATATCGATAAATTCAAACTTTTTCTGAACTCGAAAACGTTCCACGAATTCAAACTCGTGACAAATTATTATAAATTATAAATTACACGTTTCCTACCGGACTGCAAACGCAAATCACAGACCGTCACGTTTGCACATGTTCGCCGATAAACGCACTTAACCTGTACTTGGATAAACGGCTTTTCAGATCCGCGAATATGAAGTTTAAATAACAGATGGCTCCGCGAATTTTGACATAAGAAGATACGAAATAGATAATTCGAATGTTCGCGAACATTCTGAATCCTTTTACTGTCAAACGGAGAATCTCTCACTGTTTATTCTCAGAACTCTATCTCTGGCGCATGAGCACATTGAATGTGGCTTGGAGTACCAAATTCGTGTAAGAAAAAGAGCATTGACTCTCTATTTCATGGAATAATTTGAAAATCATTATTAAAAAATATGCATCATAGTATATTAAATCCACACTTTTATTTAGACTTGCAATATATATTACTCTTCATATTAAGTATGTAAACATGTCGTTTTTATATAAAAATATATATAAAAATATATACATGAATTTCATCGCGCCGTCATTACGCTGCACATGCGCGAGAAAAAACATTTTAAAAAGTTAACGATATGGATGCGTTCGTTTATAGGTCTATGGGTTTGTTCTTTTCAGCTGCACTGCTGCACTAGTGCAATAAGTTAGAAAGAGACAAACATGCTTTCTTTCACTCTAACTAATTGCACTAGTGCAGCAGTGTAGCTAAAAAGAACAGATCCTATATATTTCACTTGACGTTACGGAATGCTTGATGGACCAATCAGCACGAGCAAATCCAGTGATAGGATTATTCCAATATCAACTGCCAGTACTGAAAATCTATAGTTTACGTCACGTATACTATAGATTTTCAGTACTGGCAGTTTATATCGCAGCCAAAATAGGTATAATATTTCCGTTGATGCGTAGCAAAGTATTTTCACCAATCAAAAATAATCGCATAATTATTAATAATGTAGGTTATTTGTTATTATTATCATTTATAATTATATTATTTTATACTTTATATTTATTACTTTTTATTATTTATATAGATAATTACATGTAACAATATAAACAAGAATTATGTATGAATATAATTCAACTTACCATAAAGAAAAAACTGAAGCTAAAATAATGAGGGAAATAACGAGGCAGCTCAATTAGATTTTACGTCATTATCAGTGATGAAACATTGAGAAATGGATTCTGGATCGAATATTCTTCATTAATCTCTATAAAAAATTGTCCAATATGTATCCGAATGACACTGTCACTAGAAAAACTGTCGTAAGAATGACTGAAAGTTCATTTCATGAGTCCTATACCTTCGCAACGAAATAATGATGGTAGCGCGATAACGTTTTGCTGACATGACTGAGCATCGGATATTATGTCCCACAATTGTTGATACAAGCTAAAATTATACGTTTCTTATTCTATATTCTACACTATAAAATTTTCTCTTCTAAAAACATAGCTTACATCTCGAGATTTTCTGGGTAAGAAATTTTATTTTATCTTTAGAAAAAACAATGAATATATTTATGAATATATTAAATATCAATCAAATGTCGTTGATACTCAAGAATAGGATTGAGTTCGCAAAACGACGTAACGATTTATCGGAAAAAAATATAATATTGTGATTCTATAAATTTGTTTTGAAGTGAAAAAAAGATCGAAAAAAATTGACTTTCTTGGCAATAATAATGAATAATATTCAATGAATAATACAGTCACTTAGTTCATGAAAGAAATTGAACGAATATTTCTAAGAAGCCCATTTATCCTCGAAAATTCTTTGAATTCGAAAGAGAGCAAGTATAATACTATGGCTGCTATCGTCTGAGATCTTTTGATGTTTTTAAGTTTCGTCAGCTGATAATGATAAAAATAGAGAGATGAAACAAAATAAAAGTACGAGCTCAAAGATAAAAAAAAAGATATGCGAAATTCGAGTAAAAATAAAAGACTAATTAAAATTTTTGGTCCTAATTGTGGCATCAATTAACGTTATTCTACTCGAAGAAATTTTTTACTTTTGCAATACACTAAAAATGAGATAGATACATAAATTTAAAAGTTGAGAAAAGGTACAAATTAATGTAAAAATTTCATATTCTTTATTCGATTTCGTTTGATAATCTATTTCTTTTAAAATGAAACATCCACTATTGATATCAGCGTCTCGTGGATGATAACTTATATAATTACAAGATTGAATGAGAGAAGAAAATGTGCATAGGCACATAGATAATGACTATAGCGTACGCTTGGTGATTGAGAAAGCGCGATCCGCGACATCTTTCGTTCCTTGGCGTGTCGCGTGTTCACGTCAGTGCGGTAGAAAAATCTTGATACGACTTCACGCGATTGCATTTCAATATGGCGAACCGCGACAAAGGACGCAGAAAGTGGGGAGGATTTTCACAAGGTACTTTGACGATAATTCTTATTATCTCGCGATCGCGTACGAGTTAACGTCGTATTATCGCCGATACTCTAGTGCGCCCGACTCGGGATCAAATTCGTCGACCTCCCTCGCAAGACTCGATGTGCAAAATTAACCTCACTAAACAAGCTAACCTATAAGTTACGGCGGGCACTTGCGATGTCGCGTTATTTTATGGCGTTTGGCGACGCAACGTTAGAATCCGGCCATCACAATCGACTTTGCCTAACGAAGTAAATTAAAAATATCATCGATCTGTATAATCCGTGAATATAATTTTCCTTCGAAGATAAACGGTCCGATAAATTCTCGCGCTGTCAAGAGAATGTCAACATGAACGAATTGAATATAATTTTGTAAGAAATAGTTGATATTTCGCCGTTCAAATTCTCTAATTTTGCTACATTTGCACATCCAAAGAGATAATTTTAGATATGAAACCCTTGGAGAAATGTATAAGATGTGTTTATCACAAAGTTTTCTTTATCTCCTTTTGTGTCAATATTTTGATCTAAACATATAATGTATGCAATATTAAGCAAGTCTCCATATACATGTTACACAAAGAATGTATTGCATATAGTATTACAATATTTTATTTTATTTCTTGTGTACTGTACTTGTATTAATGAACTGGTAGAAATAATGCAAAAAGTATACTTAACAGATAAAAATTCATAATTTAAAAGCAATATATCTAATATATATCTAATATATTAATTTATCAAAAAATTGTTACTGAATATCTTTATCGAAATGTCAACAAAGATTTATTTTATTCATCAATGATTTATATATATGTGTGATAAATATGACAATTGTGAGATATAAGTAAAATATTTAAATAATTGTGATTATGTGAAGAGAAGTTCAAAATAATATTTTTACATATACCACATTGTAATAATTATTTTCAGAATTAACAAATTCTAAATTGGAGAAAGATAAATTGACGGGAATGCGTGGTGGAGGGAATAGAGCATCTCAGGCCTTATACAGACCAGGGAGTGGCCCTTTACGCAAGTCAGGCAGATCCAGCAATGCTGCCGATGAATATGACAATGAAAATGGCTCGCAAGAAAAATCTAGATCAACTTCTGTCCAGTATCGTTTGAGACAGTCGCAACTCAATAGATCTAATCAAGCACAGGATAGTCCACCTCTGTCACAAATCGATAATGTAACTGAAAAATTAGGCAATACGCATATTGACTATAGAAATAGCAATAATGAACCAGTACAAAGTACTGGACACAATATCAGTGCAGGAGCAGGAGGAAATGATTCAAAAAAGAAAAATAGGAAACCTGAACAATTGCTGTATGTACCAAAAAAAGTGAAAGAAGCACTGGCTGAACAGGATGGAATTAATAGGTAAAATAGTCGTTTTATTTCCATCAATATAAGATGTAAAAAGATTATAAGATATGAAAGTAACCTCTAACTTGAGAGAATAATACCATATCCATTACATTATTGTAACATTAAAGCTGTTAAATTTTTTTAGATCTCCCAGTCATACTGCATGGGAACGAGAGAGAGAAGAGAGTGATGATCGTGATTCCCATTCCAATCGTAGTCACAGAAGTGATCGTAATCGCGCGAGCAATCACAGTGTTCGAGACAATGGTAATGAAGGCAGGGGCAAAGATGACAACAGCAAACGGTATTCGGGCAACCGACGACATCGTCATGTCAATGAAAACGAAGAACGTTGGCGAACCGATTCGCCGATATCTGCTAGAAACTATGCGAATCGGAAGGATAATCTACGCGAAATTAGACAGGTTTGTAAATAATAAGTTGAACTATAATAATAATAAATTGATAAAGAATATAATAATAATAGTGGATTTCCTAACAATGAATTTTATAAAATTAAGAGTCATAAATTCATAATATATTCTCGTGCACAATTTGTACAATTTGAAAAATATTTTTTTCTATGTTATTAGGGTTCTGAACCTCTGTCTATGACAAATCAGAATGATTTTAATCGTACGAGAGATACGCGTAGCGTGGAACCCATTGGACATTCAGATAAATTTCAAGGCAAACCACCCTCTGGCAGACGCAATAATGCGAAAGATAGTTTGTCGAAAAATAAGTTGGAGCTAATGCCACCACGGTTCCAAAAGAAGTATCTCATTGATAACGGATATGTATTACCTAGCAACAATCCGGGAACGTCCACAGAGGATTCCTGGAATGGTAGCAGTGTTACATTTCAGGTAAAGATTTGTTAAGTGCTAATTATATAATTTTTTTGCATACTTACATACATTAACTGATATCAAATACGATGATTGAAACAACATCATATATGAAACGTGACATGAATTGTTAGCAGGCTTCATCCAGTTATAATTATCCATCAACAATGCAACATTCGCAAACGATGCAAAACTTGCCACCATCTGGGCCACCATTACCACCACAATCTAATTGGGCTAATACTGTACCAGTGAGAAGCAGAGGAAGAGGTAGACTTAGACCAGAGGAATTGGAAGGTACAGCAAGTAGCATCTTCAGACCTGTCACTCCTGAACAATATTCGGCGCCGAGTTCCAGATCCCATACTCCTAGTCAGGAATACATGAATCGGTACAAAAATGTTTATTTATACTTATATCTGATTTTTTATTTGAAATTTTATATAAATCGATAAAAATTACATTAAAACATTAAATCACAAAATTCATGTTAGGTCTTACGATCGCCGTGGTAGTAACAGCACTATGTATACCAGTATGGAGAGCTTAAGCCGCGCTGACAGTGCAATGATGCCACCACCATCATCTGCATCGCCGGCAACTTCGCAATCCAATTCAAATAGGGGTTATAAATCACCTGAAAATCATCGCAGAGGTGCAACATCACCAATCAACAATCGCACTAACAACATGTAATTAAATATTTAAGCAAAGGTTTCTTTTTTTGCTTTGTATTTTTTATGCATTTAATAATTGGATTGATTTTTAGGCAAAGAACAACCAGTAACACGCATGAGCATAATTCGAGCTTGGACAAACAGAGCAATCAACAAAACACGAATCTTAGCTCCATGAAAAGCGAATCATTTAATCCATCATCTATTACTGCATCTGAAACATTTGTAAGTACATAAATTAATAAATTCAATTCTTCAAGTATTCTTTGGATAATAAAAATTAATATAAAACTAATTTATTTCAATTTATTTCAATTAGGACTGGAGCGAAGAAGTTGAATTGAATGAAAAGTTGGAACAGGAATATTTGAGTCGTAGTTCGTCTGTCTTAAGTATACGCGAGAGCGTAAGTATGCCACGAAGTCAGGCCGTAGGCGAGAGTTACAAGCGACGTAAAAAAAAAAAACGCGATAAACATCGTGATACTGACCGGTAAGCATGCTTTTATCATATCTTTTTTATCTATTTACCCTTTTTATCGCTTAAAGATAAGTTTCAAAATATAAAATCCGAATAAACTTATCCCTCGTATGATTTTTTTCTACAAAATTACTTCTACATATATCATAAAAGATCACGTGACATGCGCAGCCGTATTTAACTTTGTAAAATACTTGTAAACACATATATTTGCGATTAAATTAGAATCTCGCCTGTAGTGAAGGCATCGAATAATCTTTTTCCAGAAATTTTTGTCTATCCTGCCCCATATTGCCAAAATCATTCGAATTCTATTGTATAAATACGAATGTTGAAAGATTTTTTATGAGATTATTTTAAATTGTTCAAGTGGTAGTAGCAGAGATAAAGGGCGAGGCAACAGCCGCGAACGTCAGAAGAATCAACAGAACAGAGAGAATGATAATTACAATATCAATCAAAAGAATAACAATAATAATAATAACAGTAATAGGCGATACGATCACAGAAGGCGTAGTATTATTCAGCGTAGTCGAGAATCGAGTAAAGACAGAAATTATGGTAACAGTTACAGAAGCTTTGATGATCTTCATAGACGCAGGTATTTATTTTTTCTTGAAAACTTATGCGTGTCAGTACTATTTCAGTGTTATCTTAGATTATGTAACGAATATTTTATTTTAGAACTGATAGATATTTGGATGAGGATTGGAGAACAGGCAGAAAGATATCGACTTGCGAATCTGATGAGGGCAGACAAACTCCTAAAGTTTCTTCTCATACTATTCCTCTTCCGAGTGTGAATTCTAACTCGACAGCACATCATTCGTCTCCGACAGGACACAACAATGCTCAACCGGGTGTCTTAATTTTGCCTAACGATGTTAATCAGTCGTCTCCCAATCAGACGACTGCATCTTCTCAACAAGGTACTGGGCAACAGCAGCAGCAACAACAAAGAACTTTATTCGATCCGAATAATCCGCATAAACCTATTGTTATTACTTCACCTGGAAATAGAGCAGCTGTACAAAGGTAAAACTGGTTTTTCTCTATTTTTCTTGTAATCCATTAGTTACAGAAATTAAACGATGATTTATTTTCTTTTTAAGGGATAATGACATGCAAATTTCGAGTGTTCCAGTATTTCAATCTAATGTAGGTGTCACACCATCTCATTATTCTTTTCAAAGCACTCAATTGGATGGTATGCCATCACCATACATGAATGATCAAATCGGAAATATGAGACCTTCGTGGTACGAACCATTTTCAGCCAGGTACGTAAATTATTTAATATCCATATATATATATATATATATATATATATATATATATATATATATATGATTTTAGATTATCATATGTCCTTATGTTAACATATTAACATTTTTCAGTTTTCATTCAGCGAAAAATCACTGCCTTCTCTTGGATATAGAACGTGCCGATCTAGAATTACAATGGATAATAAGTTCAGGTGGCTTTACGTCGCGTTTGGATAGAGTTGCGTACATACGACATTTTCTTCAACAGAGTTTGAAGATTTTGCTCGAAACCGATATCAAATTCTGTCAGGCAGAAAACGTTGAACAACATTTTTGGAAAATATTGTTTTATAATTTGATCGAGATGCTTCGAAAAGCACCCAAAGAGAACGTGGAAGGACGAGAACGTTACAAACAGATAATGTTAAATATTATTGATGAGGGTACTACTTATCTGGAAAGTTTACTAACTGCTCTCGAGACTACATACGAGTTTAAATTGGACACGTTTCTTGCATCGTCGAGTTTACCCAAGGGTCTCGGACTCTTAGGACTAGCCTTAGTCAGCGCCCAAAAGATATTTTTATTCTTGGGAGATTTGGCGAGATACAAAGAACAAGCAAACGAAACAAGCAATTATGGGAAATCTAGACAGTAAGTGTTTAAAATAATCTCGTGATAATGATATAATTTTAAAAGCTTGAAATATTTTTAAATTTAAACAAAAAATCTTTTTTTACTTAGATGGTATCTAAAAGCGCAGCAAATCAATCCTAAAAATGGCAGACCTTACAATCAGCTTGCCTTATTAGCACATTACGCAGTATGTATTAATATTTATCATGATGGATATAATTCAATATATAATTTTTCAATGTTTTATCGCGTTTTCAGAGACGGAAATTGGATGCTGTGTATTACTACATGCGATCTCTTATGGCGTCGAATCCTTTTCATTCTGCCAGAGAGAGCTTGATAGCGCTCTTTGACGAAAACAGGAAAAAGGTAAGAAAAATTATGAAATGTATCTTTAAAACGTTTGTATTTATACTAACGTTAATATTTTGATTTTCTTCTGCCGCCAGTATCTACATTATGTAAGTAAATTTTGATACACTTCGTGTGAACCTTTTAGATATTCATTTGTCATATATTTATTTGGTCAAGGCTTTATTATTTGTTTATTATTTTATTGCTAATCGTTTTTAGATTTTTTATTTTGTGTGCTTTGGAGCCTTGATATTTCAATTCACCTGTGCACTCTTAAAAACTTTATATTTTATTAACTCTTTTTTTTTTTTGTAAATGTGGCGAATTAATGCATTTCACATACAACTATTAATTTATTAAAATAGTAAATATTATTCATGCAAATGTCTGCCATTATAACTATATACACATTATAGCTATTTTTACGTAGCTGTAGTAATCGTTCACACGAATTTTAGCTTTAAAAAAATTAAGGACATTATACAGAAAGAAACATAAAATAAGTTAACAAAAAAGGGAAAATTTATTTGTACTTTCAAAGAAACCTGTACAAGAACACAATATCTGTTAACGATATGCCTGCAGCATTTTTTAGATTGCCTGTTTGTAAAACATGTTCTTAAGTTTCCGGAAATGCTTTGCGCTGTAAATCTAAATTAGAGACTTTTTATCTTTGCAACAGCTCTGCACATTTCGTTAGCATGCACTTCTCATAGATGCGGGAACTTGTACAAATGAGGAGTACAAATATTATCCAATTGGCGCTATTTGTATGACTAGCTATCTATACAAAGACAATCCTGCTACCATCTTTCTATTTCAATGATAATACTTTTCAATGTATTGAACATTTTAATAGAAATTGATAGAAAATGATCAATATTCTCTTTCTCTTTCTCACAATCCCATAATTTACTGCATCGAATATTTTGGTATAATTAAAAACGAATTAAAATACTCAAATTATTTGTAGGAATATGAAAATTTGGTTGCGGGACACTTTGGTAGTATTTCGCTCATATATTTTACACTTGTATATATAATACATGACGGAAACATGCATAAATATGACGGCAAATGTGATATATGTTAATAATTGTAAAGGCCAAATATTATGCACTGTATTCGTTTTAAATGCATCATGCGATAAAGATATTGTCTTAGTAAATGAAATATTCTTAGTACGAGTCTATTGAACGTAAGCGGAAGGAAGAGAGAGAATCAAAGGAGCGGGCAAGGATGAAGGAAAAAGAAGGCGCGAATATTATTGGCGGTGGATTGAGGAGAGAGACGTGGATTCATCCGGGTGATGGTAGACGAGTGCGACGTACAACCAGCACGTCCACTGCCAACGAGACGAGATTGTCCCATACAAGCGATTTGGAGGAGTTATCGCAATTAACAAGTGTCGAGGTTTGTGTTGCTCATTTCTTGTCTAACACGGTTCTAATCTAACAGTTTTCAAAAGCAGCTACAGTTTTCTATAGAAAGAAGTTTTCTATAGAATACTTCTTTTATAATCAAGTGATAAATGCTACACACACACACACACGTTCAATATCTGCAAAATTTTCGTAAAATTTTTAAAACGTGCGTTATATATAAATTTGTACATTTTCTTATATGATTCATAACTATATATATATTATTAATATGATAAAATATTGTTGATATATTGTAAACATGCTTTTGATAATATTATCATTAAAATATTATATATATTTATGAAAATTACTTTTATTCTATTTTATACTCCAATACTAATGTGACTTAATCTTCTTTTTTTTAGGTGAACAAACGATTCGTCACTTCATACCTTCATGTTCACGGAAAACTCATCACCAAGATAGGGTGAGTATTTACCATAATTGATTCTCTTTATATTTCTTTCTATAAAATTAAAAACGAAAAAGCTCATCTATAATTAACAATTATAGATCTTTTTTTCATCATTAAAAATTTGTTTATAAATACTAGAGAAGTAGTTTGATATTGATTTACTGATTGTCCAGTCTGATATTCGCTTCTGATAAATGCGTTTATTCTCATTACGAAAACTATAGAATCATTTTTCGCGTCTACTAAATGTGTTCCATGAATAGCATAAATCATTATTTTGTATATTTTACTTGCATTTACTAAACATGGATAAAGTCAGCGAAATTTTTTCGATTTTGTAATTTTGTAATAATATATTTTTAATATAATTAAAAGAAGGAAGAGAAATTAATAAATTTATTTTCTTTCTCTTTTAAATTTTTGTTCTTTAAAGCTCATGATGTATTACAGTAATATTTTATCACTGCTTTGTACATTTCTTTTTTTCTTTATTTATTAAAGTACATATTAAATTTGTAAAAACAGCTAAAGAACAGAATATAATATTGTAACTACTATTAAATTAATTTATTTTATATAAAAAACATGCAAGTATTTTTAATATACAACATAACGATTTATTAAGGAATATACACTGTAGTAGATATTTACTTTCCTCATCTTAGCTTCGCTTATAGCTTTAAGAAATTGACAAAGATTATCTGTATTATCTTAATGAAATTCTAATTAACAGAAGCAATTACGTTAAAGTAAGCGAAGTATACGTGATGTCTAATCTTAGCGCAAATTGCAAGATGCTTTTATGGAAAGTTGAAAATTTGTCATTAGTGTATTCTGTTTATTAACGGAATATATCTTTATTGCAAAGATGCATAAATAAGTAAATATTACCCTTTACAAAAAATAATCGGAATAATTAGCAACTGATATCGCGACCAAGCAAAAGTGATTATCGCTTAAAAATTCGCGATGCTGCATCCCTACAAGTTTATAAAATCTAAATATCGCCAATAAATGGGATATTAAAGTGTTATGGCATTTAATCCAGACTGATCAATCCAAAAATATTGCACTAGAGAATCTCTCTCGGCGATTCAATTAGCAATATAAAAAGGAAAAATTCGGAATATGTATGTCATACAACAAAGACAAAACATATTCGGATTTTTACGAGCGAAAAAATATGTGGTTTTTTTCTTAAATATCTAGAAAGGAAGTGCAATTTTATTTAAATATTATATATATATATATATATATATATATATATACATATATGTTTATATATATATATATATATATATATATATATATATATACATATATGTTTATATAATATTTTTCTTTATTATTTTTAATTATTTTTAATTATATATATAATATTATATGTCTCTCTGTATTTTGATTTATAAAAAGATTTTGTTATTCTATTTAATATTTGGGTCTGATTTAAACTTTGTTTTTTGTCTTTATTTTTATTTTCGAAAAAAGCCTTGAATTTTTAAGCGATAACTATCAGTTCTCATAAAATATTATTTTTCAAAAAGCAAGCTCTGTTGTGAGGATATTTATATTCTGAAAATCAAAATTGATTTATTAATTTATTTGGAATTATTAGCTTTATTAGAGAAGATTTTCGTGAATTTTATAAGAGAGTAATATTTGAAAAAAATGTTATAAATAAATGCTGCGAATAAAAAATCGCGTTTGTCGTTTAAAATGAATTTATTTGCTCATTGTATCCGGTACTCTTTCTTTTTTACATTTCTATACTTTCGCGATGCCTCAGAATCTGGTCGAATTAATGTGGACATGCATGTATATGTATGTACACTAGCCTTAACATATGTGAATTTAGCCATGTTTGAAGCGTACTCGAAACCTATCTAGATATTTATGCATCCATGATTGTACTATTTAAAAAATTTCAAATTATATTTTTACACTAATTGCATTTTCAAACAAATTTATACATAGTTGCGTAATGTACAAATAAAAATGGCTCGGAATATCTAAGATGAAGAAATATGGCATCTTTTATATTAGCCTTGACTGATTCGTTTTTCTACACATACTTATTATGAAGTCATGCAAATTTATCTGGATTGGGGCAATCTGTCGAAAAAAATGTCGTATCGTCACGACACATGAATAGCCATATACGATGCGTACGCCCCCTGTATGTATATATCTCATGTATAAATGTGCCTAACTTCATCGCATCCTCGACGCCGAGCGGACGCGGGTTCGTGGTATGTACAGCTTCGTGTTTTCTTACGCACGGCGGTAAAAATGTTAATTGACAATTGCATGGCGCCACCCGACCACCACCGTCTCGACCGCAACGTGACGACGATGGAAGCGGCAGCGGGGATGCTGTCCCGTGCGTGTTGTGACCTTGTGAGATACGTACTTCGCGACTACCGTACGTACGCGCGCACCCCTTCGGCGATAATTCACCGGACAAATTTGGACCGTGAAAGAGAGAGAGAGAGAGAGAGAAAAAAAGGTTTTTATTCCTCAAATTTTTCATTCGTACGAAGTTAAATTTTACCAGTTAAATAATTGTTTTCGGCGCGTCATGTGAAAAAAACAATGTGGACTGAGACGAGCGTCGATGAGAGGAGGTAAGACAAACAATATTAAGAACCTCCTTCATTAGCAGTATAAAAATTTGATGATTTTTAAGAGTTTCTTTCTGAAGAATATTATAGAAATTGATTTATTTTGACGTTTTCATTCATTTTGGAATATATTGTATGTCAGTATTTTTTGATATTTAGCTTTTTTTTTATTCAAAATGAGTTTAGCATAAACTCATTTTAAAAAAATGTATGGTTTAACAGCGTGAACTACTCCATATAATTGTTTGAAATGTAAAAAGTTTTACGTTTCAAAAGTTTTACTCTGGTTTTACATTTCAAAAGTTTTATTTTAGTTTTATTATATATTCCATAAGATTTTGAGGTACTGAACTTAATTTCATTAGGAAAAATTGAAAAAAATAAAGTAGTATTATATTTTAAAATTAAATATTTGTCAATTTTATTAAAATTGTTTTCGTTTTTTCAAGATGACAACTATTAAATATTAATTTTTTAAATATTAATATTAAATTTAAATTAATATTAATATTAATTAAATATAAATTTTTCAATTTTAATTAGTAATTTCAAAAAATATTCTCTTTTATTTAAAAAATGTTGAAATAATTTTATTCACTAATTTTCAAGATATCCGTCATAGTATCTTTAAAAATAGCGTTTTGAGAGAAAGTGCGCTTAAAATTTAAGTTTTGCAGGTTTATTTAAAGACTCACACGCGCTATCCTATTTCAAATCTTATAATTTCGTCAATTTAGCGAAATTTTTAATAAAATTTAAAGGACATGTTCTTAAGACATCATATTTTTAGGAAATGTAAAAAAAAACATCGATTTTTTGATCCTCTAAAATAGACCGAGCTCTTAAAATACAGGAGCACGTTGGGTAGCTCTGTATACTATTAGAACGTTACATAGAATGTACTCGCGGTCTATAATTGGAATTACCGAACCAGTGCCATTGGTTAGAGGTGCTTGTTAACGACAAGGTACGTGCGTGGCATAGGCACATGTATAGATCGCGGATAGGTGGGGAAGGGGAAGAGAGATGGGAGACCGTGCAGTGCACAGTCGGACTAGTATGGTTGGCTTACGGTGTTGCTGACTCGTTGCGTCGCGACTGCTGTTGCTGTAATGGATTTGGCTCATTACTGGTTGCAGAAGCACTAGGGTTCGTCCTCCGACCCTACAGAGTTATATTCAAGGTTGCCCTTGTACCATACGGTCCATCGCGGACTATTTTCTTTCCGTCGTAGTATCGTGCTTCTCGTCGTCAATTAGCCCTTTTTTAACCCTTTTTAGCATATATAACTTTTTTGAGAGTTTTTCCATTTGATTTAAAAATTAAAGTTTTATATATATATTTATTTATTTATTTTGAAACATACACATCTCTAAATGTCTCTAAAAATTATTTATATATATATCTTGAAATAATTTACATATATTAATAAGATATTTGAACCTAAGTTATATTTACATATAAATTCCAATAATTAATTTTTTACTTAACTATATATTTTAAAAAGGATTAAAAAATTACTTAGACTGAAATATCTTGTAATAAAAATATATATACATAGAAACAATATAATTTTTATAACGTAATTTAAAAAATTTTCGATTTACAATTTTATTTTAAAAAAAACTTAAAAGAATAAAAAAGGATTCTTTTATATTAATCTAACATTTAAATAAAATTAAAAGATATAAACTATCACAGGTTTCTGTGAACTTTGACTATATAAATTGATTGTAAATTAATTTTGATTATTGTAATTATATATAGATAAATATTACTAATAAGACATATTATCCGTGAGATTAATAAATAATATTACTAAAAAAACTCTCAAAAAAAGTACATGTAAAGTTGAAAAAATTTCTCTGTATTCGTACTTATTACGCTAATTTAAATAATTGTTTAAATTAGCAAGATATTAAAAAAATTCAACAAGTAAATTAGAATAAGAGCTTAGTGATTATTTATATTAGGCATTATAAATAATATGCATTAATTAAGTGATATAACTCTCCCACTTTTTCTCCTAATATTTTACAATTTTATACATTAAAATTCTGATTATTTCTTCCTCTGACTATTATGATGATATATTTGCATATTATGAGTAAAAAATACATGCCCATGATTGAGCACTTGAAAGAATTGAATGTCCTGGAGAATCTATACTGAGAACGTGCGCGCTTGTTGGTGATGATCAATAATTTCGAGTTGCAAGACAAATCGTTTTTCGTCGATTAATATGGTAGTCCGACAGATTAAATCGGTCTCAACGTGTTGCCGTATGAGATGGCGCTTGAATTTTTTCCACCAGATGAGGATCGGGAAAGATCGTGAGGGTCGCGTCGCGCCAAGAGGTGGTAATTAAACCTATAAATTGACAATGTGAAG